GTGCTAGATAAGACTAATGCATTATTATTATTATTATTATTATTATTATTATTATTATTATTACTAAAAACATCCAGCAGTGAATCAGTGAATGAAGCTAAAATCCATTGTCCCACAGAAACAAACAGATTGATGTCTTGAGTAATTTACAGTAATAACTGGACTGACCTGGTCAAACTGTGGATCTTCACCTCTCTGGAGCGATCGGGACAAGGGTTTCTCCTGTTAGAAACATCATGGTGATGATGATGGGGGACAACAAAATGTACCACTGCTGGGAGTTTTCACACATTTTAGTTGTTCCAAGACAAACTTAACATACAGAAGTATCTCTGGAAACTTTCAAATATTTACTGAATGTTATAGTTTTGTGTTTTCTGATTCAAACTTTTATCCGACGTGGACTCACCAGCGGCTCTGCCATCACCATCTCAATCTTCTTCTCAGCAAGCACAGCAAACTCAGCAAACAGACTCTTGATGACAAACTCCCCGGGTTTAAGCTCGGGGTCGATGGTGATGCTCGACATGGCGGCAATGTTGTGTTTCTCCCACAAAAGTGGAGTCACAGAGGAAGGGGCACGGCGTCTAACCACGCTGCTGCTGACTGGCGCAGAAGCTGCAAGGAAGCCAGAGACTAAACGTTAGGAACCAGTGGGAGTCACAGCAGAAGGTTCAGGAAAAAAACAGCATGCTTTAAAAGTAGGCAGTGTTTCCCCTTGGATTGGTGGAGAGGGTATAGAGCAGAGGTGGCCAATCTTGGTCCTCAAGGGACACTATCCTGCATTTTATACCTGTGTCTGTGCTCCAACACACCTTTTCAAGTTCTGCAGAAGCCTTTTAATCACATATTAATTCAAATCAGGTATAGTGGAGCAGAGAAACCTCTAAAACTCGCAGGATGGTCGCCCTCCAGGACCAGGATTGGACAACCCTGGTATAGAGCAGACAAGACAAATAATTTAAGTTTATGTTTTGCTTTTAGTAACAGCAATGAATTTAACATTTGATGCATAAGCAGACATATATTTATCTATTACATGCCATGATCTTTATTAGGCAGTGGGTGGTTCTATTTGAGTGGTGGGGACTCAAAACAGATTAATAGCACCTTTAAAAAATACCAGAAGGCAGTAGGATTGGCTGGAATCACTTCCTTAAACCCAAGGTTTCCGTTTATTTGCATGAGATACAGATTATTTGCTCTACCTATTCAAACTGTTTAAGCAAATCTCACAGGTTTTTGCTTAAGCAGCCCAGGCGTTGGCTGATAAACACTCACCTGGAAAGCCCTTTGATGGCCAGACTAACAAATCCTAATCTTGTTAATAAGAGCCAATCATATTATTTCCTATAAATCTCAACCTCACAACCTATGTCATTTTTAAGTGTTTTTAAAGAAGCCAACTGGAGCTTTACTTGGTAAAAAGGTTTCATCTGTCATTGGAAAGACTTCTTTTTAACTGATTGGTCTTTAGACAGAGGCGTTTTTCGCACATTACAATTGGAATCATCAAAAACACGAGTCGATGTCTCAGCCCTTCTTCCTACGAGCTGTTGAACAACCTGACCAACCAGCCTGTGGTGTTTTGGTCACTTGGGTCAAGGCATGAATGAATGTGAAATTGCCTAGAGGAGAATACAAATTAAATAAAAAAAKTAATTAATTAAAAATGTTTTTTATATATTTATTTTTTTCTGTTCAAAACGTGTACCTTACTGCCCTTAAAAAAGTGTCTCCTATCCTTAAGTTACAGGTGGACAGCTGAGTTTTAATAAGAACCTTAATGTCAGTATTGTGCCATGTTCAGCTTGCAACGATACAGAAAATTCATGATTCGGTTTGGTTCGATACTTTAGTCTCACGGTTCGATATTTTTTCGTTACAATAAAGAGAAATTTCCATGCCCCTTTTAACTTGTAATTTATTTAAATTAATAATGAACATTTGTTTAACCTCAAAAGTACAGTTTCTAAATTAAATGTTGCTGAAACAGCAGGTTTCTCAGTGGATCTGCACTCGAAAATGCAGCCTAGGTGGAGTAGTCGAACACAGATCCACTGATCCTTCAACACAGCATCTTCAGAAGACAAGATGATAAAGTAAATTTTAAAAATCTATATTGTTTGTTACAAGTGTGTATTGAACCTAAAGCACTGTTCGATACGGGTACATGTATTGTTGCACCCCTAATAAATATTCGTATGTTTTCATTAGCCTGTAAACATTTGTTACTCAGCTGTATTTAGATGTTTTATCTTTAAAGTCAGCATCTCAGTGGGCTGTGACTGTCAACAACTAGTTTGTAAATTACATTTGCCAGGGACTCTCCAGATGTTGTTAAATGTTTGTGGTGGTTCTCATAAAATGTTGCAGGGGCTTGTTTTTTTGCTTGGATTTTGTGGAACACATTTCTCTCAAATTAGTTAYACAGTTATAGGAATTTCATACCCTTCTCAATTTAGTTTCCTTAATTCTGGAACGTCAGAGCTGAATTTTCACACCTGTGCAAACATAGTAGTTTTCTGTAATGGTCTCCTATTACAGAAGACAACTGAGGCTACAGAGCCAAATGGACTGGTCCAACCACACCAATGATTAATAATAATTATTTAAAAGAATGTATCCGAATCTGCCTATTTGTAAAGTGTACTCCAGTAGATTAAATCAAACTTGAGGGAAGCTACCGAAGTGCGTACAAGGCAGGCATAGTGTTAACAAATGTGCAGATCTTAAATGTGATTTTTGCAAGACATGCACAAAGAAATTGGCTGTGATTTTGAAAAATTGACCATGCAATACTCACATGGTCACAAACATTCAATTCAGACAGACTGCAACTGAAAATTCACATATTTGCTTACAATATTCATCTTCTGGTTTAAACCAGTATTTGTCTCATGGTTTTTATTTATTTTTAGATTTGAAGTACACTGGGATGTTGTGTTTACAGTTTTCTGACTACTCTTTTCCTCTCATGAAGTTTGATACGAAACTACAAATAAATAAAACAAAAACCAATTCATGTAATTMAGACTTTATCTAAAATTCTTTTAATTATTTCAAACACATATTCTCTCTTCGACTAAAATGAAAAGATCTTCCACAAACGTGTTACTTTTTTCCAATCACGGAACACTTGAGAACATCTAAGATGCCAACTATTTAAGCTGCACACTATGCTGTTCTTCTGATTTATATTTGAATTGGGAACACARCTTCCAGTTTATTTCCCAACGGTCAAACTCCTGCCAAGTGAACAGCCAACGGTAAAATGATCCTTTACCCCTTCCCCTCCCAGGAAAGGCCTTTTTCTGTTTCTTCCTGGTTGCCACAGAAACATTCGGGCAATCTGAATTGTCCAAACAACACTGAAGAACAGCAGTGAAGCGAAACGTTTTTCAACCAAGGAACAACATTCATAGTAAGGATCTGAAGATTTGAAGTATTTCAATACTAAGAAAAATGGTGATATTTCAAGGGTTTAAGTTCTATAGGGTGATTAACTAGATGCTATTCTGTTCGTGGTACTGAAACTATTTAAATAATAATATATCTCAGATAATAAAAGATAGGATACAGTACATTGTTTCATTTCAGAGTGCAGCTTCTACATTTTATTCATTAATGCAAAGACAACATTATTTTTGTGTAGCCCTTTTAAAAATAAACTTCTCTGAACAGCAAATGAAAGTGTCAGCTTGATAACTGAGCCTCGATTTAAGTTGATTTCAAGCTTGAAAAGCAAACAGGTGCAACAAAAAAGTTCTCAATTTGTGCTTTGTTGAGTTCCAATTAAGTAACTGTGACAAAGACACTGTCTAAACATTTCTATTTTGTGGTTTTATTACAGCTGTCTGCTGCAACAGTTTCTCTATACACATACTGTATACATATACATATACATATACATATACATATACATAT